TTATATAACAACCATACATTAGCAGTTTATTATGAAGGAAGAAGGGTTAACTGAAGCATCTTGCTGCAGGGGCCCACTGTTCTCCCCCCCCATTTCTCTACCTTGCTCAAAGGAGATCTTGTTCTGTACCAGTTCTGCAGACCTAAAATATTTACAGATACATAGAACAAAGAACCCAGCGCCCATAAATCTCACCCAGAGGAGCCAAGGTGACATCTCAATAGGTGTTATAGGCCCCAAGCCAAGACTTTCTTGAAGGCTGAGTGATCAGAACATGAAAACAATAGAAAGAACGAAAGGTCTCCGAGGTCAGGTGAGGATGAGGATTAAAAATACAGCCCCCAGGATGAAGGCAAACAGGATTTCCCACCATAATATTCCTCAAAATAGAGACCACGCCTCCATCTCCACCCCTAACTCCACCTGTTATGAATATTGTAATTTATGTTGTAATCATTGCCAAACCTGTATAAAATGCTCGCTCTAACCTAACTAACTCGGAGCCTGTTTTCCCAGCACTAGCTGGCAGGCTGCCCGGCCGTCAATAAATAAATACCTGCTGCTTTAGACATAAAACCCTGTCTAAACAGTTCTTTATCTGCTCTTTTCTGGGCATCAATTCATACCATGAAAAAACAGTACTCGTGTACTGTTCTGCTTAGTGGTTATACCTGGATAGGAAAACCTTTCCTTGCTTTGTAGAACATGCACAAAGCTTCCTCCCTGCCATTCTTTCGATGTATTGCTCCATTAATCCATTGACTAAAGTCAAGTCCCTCAACGTAATTCTTCCCCTTTGTTGAAGGGTATGGGCTGTTCTGCAACGTGCAAAGGACATGGAGGCACCTACATGACTTTACTAGAACCTTACCCCACTCTACTCCATGATTATGATTTCTTTTTCAGTAGCCTATAACTTCAGTTTCCTGCATTATAAAGCCAACTCACCATGTCCGCGTATTAACTTCGTATCTGTAAAGGTCATCCACCAATCCGTATTTGTTGCCAGGTAGGGCTTTGTATCCACCATGGACATAAATAGATTTAGTCAGTTCATCATAGACACTTGTATGGCCATAACCACCTTGCACAATTGCTCCTTTTGTTTCTGGTACAAGCCAGGAATTAGACCCTGAAACACAGAGACAACACCAACAGGTTGAAGGCTAACACACAGTGCTGGGGGGGGTTGAGTAAATAATATCTAAAATACAGTCTTAATTAGGGGCTTGTTTTAAGAAGTGATTTTATACCACTGTATCAAGGTATCTGCAATTGGATAAATGCTGTTAGACTATTACCTGCTATTCTTAATGAAATCACAAACACACTGTTGTTACAGCTGCCAGCCAGTATCTCCCACTCTCTCCCGTGAGGCTTCAGCATTCGCACAAAACCAACAAACAAAAAGCCTGAACTTTTTTCGAAAATGTGAAACTAGGAGTTATGATTAAATCTCACCAGAGATGGCTGATGAGAATTCAGTGCTCCAGCTACTTCAGATGCATTAGGAACACCTGTTCTCAGTCCTGGGGAATCTGGAGCAGTCTGACAGACACTGAACTGCTGTGAGTCATGAGAAGCACACAGCATAAGGTAGCTCCAAGTAGGCATGGGGGTAGGCAACCAATTTGGTAGTAACTGTAAAATTATTGAGCTAAAATCCAGTTCCCAACTACTGTTTCTTAGTTATTTAAGTGCAAATATACCTCTTCAGTTGCTGAAAACTCACAGAATAATCTGATAGCAGCTCATTAAACAGACACTTAAATCCACATTTTACATTACATCACTAATAACTGCAAAGAGACACCAAATAAACCCATACACAAGAGCTATTATGACTAAAGAATAAAACACAACTGGAAAATATTTCACCCTGGCAAAAAAAAAGACAGATGTTAAGTGAGATCTTGCAGCCTGTAGCCTCAAAATGTTATTTTTTTTCCCATCCATCTTCCCAGATGACGACATAAGTCACAAAAAAGCAAGCCAGGAGGTATTTCCTGCAGAAGGCAGCCTGTACAAAAGAGCCTGTAATGATTAGGAGCCAGTTCCATGGACGTGAAATGGAAGAAATAATTCACTTACAGCCTCTTGAAGATTATGTCAGAAGAAGAGAAAGTATGGACAAGGACATCCAAAATGGAGCAGTCTCCTAACTCTTAGCCTATATTGGCTGCCATTATAAAGTTATTTATCCAAGGCTAGCACACAACACCATACACCTTGCTTCATCTCAAAGTTAGTTTTCCATTTCACTTTCTATCTGATATCATGTAGGTAGCTTACATTAACTCTTTTTCCTCTGGATTCTTCTGTTCAGGGAAGAGACTCGTGATTTTCAGTTATTACTGATGTTATTGCCCTTTCATTAAATAGTTTCCAGGCATTGCCTCTATAAGTTTTTTGGGTTTTTTTTCAGTAACAAGTAATTACAGCAAGTAACAAAGTATAGTTTATATGGAAGAATTGTGCTGATTTTGGTGTGTATGAATGCTGATATTTGTGTAATACAGTATTCACATCTGAAACAGTATATTTACATTATTTATGTGTAGTGTAATGTAACTAGTATTTTATTCCAGTCTCTGTACTGGATATTATCAATCTATTAAGAAGTGCAACTCTGAACACAAGTATTACATTTGTACCAATAAGACCGTATTTTACATATATATTACTTTGATAGCAAAGAGACTTATTTGATACATTTTATGTAAGAGGGTTGGTGAGGAGTCAACCTGCAGATAGCCCTTCCTATTACCAACACCATCTCAATGTATTCATTTAAAGAATGATCAGTCCTAAAGATTGGCATGCATGCTTCTCAGTGAAAAGAACTATTTCTCCACAGAAATTTACACAACGTGGTTGATAATATGCATAATAAAATATTTTGCATTTATATCTGACTGTTTTATACATTTATTTGGCATTATAGTTTACGTAGTAATGGTCAGACTTGAGGACATTAGAGGTCTTTTCCAACCTGAATGAGTCTGATTTTGTGTAGCATTTAGAACACTATGACAGTAACATTCATGTTGCATAACTTTAAACGACTTCATCTGACTTGCAGAAATGTGAAGAGCTGTTCCTTTTTGCAAATTAAAAACCAGGGGCTATGAATAACTACCTAAATTTGAGAAAAGAGGTCCAGCAACATCTCGCTGAAATAGAAGTTAAAAGCTGTATTAGAGTTTCTCCCTCAGTTTCCCATTCTAAAATTGAGCTGAGTTGCCTGAATTTTGAATGCTGAAATGTAGGCCTACAGTTTTGATCCTTCACACTTCTTCAGCATCTTGAATATTGCGTCATTCACACAAAAATACACTTCTGTCTATATTTAAAGACATGACCTGCTTTTTAAGAAACTTATTGATACCAATCTTCACCTTATTTTCTAAACAAAAATTCAATTTTTATTGAAAGCATTTACCTAACCCTTCTCATACTCAAAGAAAGCTCACTCTTTCTACCAATATACCATAAGAAATATTTGATTGATCGAATCAGTCATGTGAAACTCTGCAATTTCAACAGTTTAAAAAGTCAAGCAAAGAAAGACCTCTATGAATTAACAAGCCAGAAATAAGGAAAGAGGAGACTACTAAAGACTACATTATTTTTTCTTTCCAAATTTAAATTTTGAGTCTAAGAGTATAAAAATAAGATCAAATCAATTTTGAAATTAATCATAAAAATAATAGGGGTATGCAGAAGTACCACATAATGGAATACAGGCTTCTACTTTTCATTTGTAATTTGACATTTTTCATCAACATCTGAGCAATTTTCCAGAGAATTCTACCATATAAAGTTTCTGTTTAAGTGCTTAGGAAAATCACTACGATAACTTCAGATAATTAGATGAAAAAAAAAAAAACAACAAAAAACAACCAAAAAGCCATTAACTCAGCAACTGAACGAACTGAAGCTGGGGGTAAGACACTATTCCAAAATTCTGACAGGCACAGCGAGTGAAAGTGCTGGCCCAGGAGCAAACATTTGCAACAAAGCTGGTTAGATATTGCCAAAGAATGGGAACCACAGTGCTGACAGTAAAGGCCAGAGGGAGGAGAGGCAGGATCTAGACTGTTACAGACCTTTATCTCAACTCAATAGTATGCAAAGGTTTAGAACAAAGGGTTTGGGTTTGATCTATTTTTTTTAAAGGATAAATAAAAAATGTTGAAATAGTGGGAAACTGTTTCACTGGACAACGTAAATGTGTCAAACCATTTACACCATGTTTAGCTAAATAAATTATCAAGAGAAGGAAGAGCAGTCATTCTCTGTGTCTGGGATTTCACCACTGAACAACAAACAGCAATGAACTATGTTGAGAGGTGCTGAGACTTAGCAGCAGGCAGAGTTCTAAAAGAATTAGTGCACTGTATGACACCGTTAGAAATTTAAGAAGCGCTAACTGCATAAATTTAGATTCCATTGATTCACAGAAGCAGCAGAAAGACATGCAGAACGAACTGTAAAATCTCGGCTACCAGAAAAAGAAGGATCACAATTCCACAATATCTTCAAGGTATTACACACTGGGATTAGCAACAGGAACTTCTGTAAATTGGAAGCTCATCAGCTGACAATGACTGAGAAGAATAAGTAGGAGAACTGCTTCATCGGGGAAAGTCCATGAGCCAGTAATGACTTTCTCAAGGATGCAGTACAAATGTCATTTTACTATATACCAAGTAAGGTATTGCTAATAATGTAGAATTAGGCAGTGGCAAAATTTCACCTCGAATATCTCACAGGCTTTTCTAATCGTCCGTGTTCAAGAGAGATGAACTCCTTGTGGAAAAGGTACAGAGAACTGTTAGAATGACAGTGGAATAGATGAGGTTGCCTTAATTAGGCTTCCAGGAGGGAGGATTTGTATCTATAAATATAATTCAAAGACAATTCCAGGGAGATGAGCTGCTTGCATTAAACAAGTGAATATAAACCAGGTCATTGATAAAGGTGGGCTATGAATTAGAATATGCCTAGTCACTAAAATTATAACCAATTTTCCAATGACACTGTGCTTGCAAGAAATGAATCACATCCAACGGTTTAACATCATTCTATCATAAAAGAATGCAAAATAAATGAAATAAGAGACAAAAGGGTTTTTTTCCCCGAGTTCATTTCTTTGTATGAAGCAGTTTAGGACTGTCAAATCAAGGAAACTCCAAATTTGAGCAATAGTCATTTTATAATTTAAAATAGAAACACTGAAATCACATTTTGAGATAAAGTTGTTTCTAAAAAGAAAAAAAAAGTTTGAAAAATATACAGTAATAAACCCACTAAAAATCCAGGGAAAGGTAGATACACTGGCCTGATCTGTCCTTACCACAATGCAACCTTCAAATAGATCAGGTAAAAAGCACAAAATATCCAAGAAGAACTTCAGTGTGCCATCTTCATTTCATTGCAGTGACAAGCACTAAATTTTTTCAAGCAACCACGAAATTTAAGCTAACTTACAGAAAAGAGGACACATTACATCACAGGGCCTCTTTTTTTTTTTTTTTTTACAGTATTTCAAATAAACACTTTTAATCCAAAGCAGTCTATAATCTACTTCTAAAGTCAGAAAAAAATTCAGTCTAAAAAACAAAGTAATATTCTGCTAATCCAAAGAAATAAAATAAAATCACAGAAGACTTATTCAGAAGTTTCTTAATATATAAGGAGCTTTTATAAATCTCAGCTAAAACAGAACACTGTTATTATATTCACCTTGAGACTCACATTGAGACTCTTAGAAGGTTTATGAGGTATTGCAAACCTAAAGGGAAATAAATTCTCCTGGGGAGTAACCCGGAAAAGCTTTATGGTTCAAGTCAGTAAAATCATTCACATAATTCCCATGCCAGGATTTACTGGTTTCTTGAAAATCCTAAGTCCAGGTACAGCAAGAAAGGACAACAGGAAGTCTTTTTGTTCCTGCAGCAACTGCCATACACTCAGAGCAGAAATAAATTCATGTGCTTTTGCATGGTGAAAATCTGCCTACAAACCATGTCCAATTACTCCAGAATTTACTTTACTTTGACAGAAATTACTTTCTTTCCTAATCAGACAATGCCAGAGAAATTTTCAGACCATGTCCACCTTCGATTGATCACGCTTTGTTAACAAGAACAACACACCTACGTGAGAAGCCTGGGAATCCACAAGTACTTTGCAACTTCTTTGGATCTCTCTTAACCCAGTCTCCATGAAAGTCAGAGTCACAGTAACTAAAGTACGTTTTAGCACTAGAATTCCATATAAATTCCGTATATCAAGTTCATCAGAAGAACTGGATCACAAGAGGTTTTAGTTCATGTGAGCCAAAAGCTAAGCTGCCTCTTTCTATGTTACTCTTCCTTCCAGTAGGTATTTGGTAAATGCTTGAAAAATAACCTTCATTAGGACTAAAAGCCACAACTGATAACATTTAGAAAGAATAGAGCACTACAGTTTGAAATGTTAAGGTATCATATGTTTTCAAAAAGCAAGCAGAGAGAGAGAGAGAACATTGGGTTCTTATTTTCCTTTCTATAATATCACAAGCCCTTAATCATATCAATTTTTTTCCTATCCAGGTGAGTTCACAGCAATACTTCTATCACTTCCTATGTCTTTTAAGTTTGGATTCAGAACTGCTGAAGTCTCCCCAGAAAATAGTCATTCTTGGTTCAAACCACCATCCGGAATTTTATGGCTAAAAATATTCCTGCAGCTGCAAAACCGTAGATAAATGCTACAATCAATACAGAATTCTGGGAAATTTACCAAAAAATTCATTTAACTCAGACAGAAGGGAAAGGAGGAAGATGCAGTGAGGTAAAATGAAACATGAGAATTATCCACAGCAGAAGTAGTTCAGTTACAGCACACAGACCATGACCTGCAAAGCCCTGCATGCCCCAATAATCAATCCTTCATCAGATGAAGAGATTCACTGAAATCAATGGGTTTCCACATTAATACCCTATATTGTTACAAGTTTCCTTTACATTTGACGCAAGTGAATCACATCAACAAACTGAATTTCTCACTAGTACATGGCAAAAACAATCTCAAAAGGGAGACATGAAATTTGAGAGTAACTGAGACCAATAATAACAGAGAGAAGTGCTTTCTCTTACTCAGAGTTTGTCACCATGGTAGGAAAGGTGTGGGGGTTTATTCTCTGTGTTATATATGCTTAGTTATAGTCTATTTTATCAATCCTCCACAGAGTTGTAATATTAAAAAAAAAAAAAATTAAAATAGGAACAAGTTGTCCATTTCAACCATAAGGCCATCAATAAAATCATCCAGGCAGAAAACTTTATACTACAAATCATGTTCCCTTCTTCATAATTAAACTAACCACAATAATAGGTGAGAATAAAACGGGTACTTCTATTCCATGCTAAATAAGCAGCATGTGAAGAAGCAAATAATTCAAAGTTCCAACAGACATTACAGCGTATGAGCATGCAGAAAACTACAACAACACATTGCTGTCTTCAAGAGGAAAAAAAAATCATCTCTGGTAGTTTAAGAAACCAACTTTCCAAAATTAAGTTTTTCAAAGAAATGGTCTTTAATGGTCTTTTAATGGTTTTTAATTTCAAAAAAAAAAGGTCTTTAAAATCTTAGAATACTGTTGTGAAACATCATTCTAAGACCAAAATTTCATAGCAGGTTTTATGCAGTTAAATTGAAATTTTTCATCATAGTGCTCTTCCTCTTATTCCCATTCATCTTTATCATTTTTCAACATTGTTATAAAATTTCAACACTGCCATCAGAAATATTGTCAGGGAGACTAAGAACCTTATGAGTTCTGAAGACATTTCCCCAACCTATAAATCTGCTTAAACAGTGTCTATATACATATGCATACGTGAAAAAAAATTAAATGAAACCATTATATTTTAAAGCATAATGATTGTTTGTAAGTATTACTCTGAAATTCTGTATTATGCATTCTGTGACTGCGTAAATAACTGAAGGACTCAGATTAATTCAATAGAAAAAAAAAGGAATCAAAATAAGTAGGAGAGGATTGTAATTTGATTTAGTGGGCATATAAATATTACCAAAAAATTTTAGGTGTGGAGTTTCAAGTTTATTCCACTGAAATAATACCTTAGATTTACCATGTATATGATAAAAAGATTTCTCTGGGTTTATTTAATTCTAGCATTTAAAATCAACCCTAGGAAAACTTGTGGTTTACAAGGGGAAACCCAGACAGACAAGGCAGGTTATTTACAGAAAATTAGTGTTCCTTTTCAGTTATTGTTCTCTAACAGCAACGTGTATACACTTCAGAGAGAACCCTTTATACAATGATGAACTAAGTTGTGATATTAAAAAAAAAAAAAGAAACCAGAATGAAAATATAGCAACATTAAAGAGACTTAAAAATAACTTCATTATTGTTTCTTTTGCTCTTCTACTCTGGGATAAAAACAGTAAGTCTATGATTAAAAACATCACCAAAATAACCACCACATGGAATTTCTGGTTTCAATTTTTATCCCCTATAGAGTACCACGACTGTACATAGAAAAAGTCAAGGTGCTCCAAATATGTATGAAACACTATCGCTTAACAAGAAATCTGATCTACGTAATTTGAAGGAAAAAGAAGACGAGGTTTTATTTATTTTGCAAAATACATCTTTTTCTTTCTGAAAATAGGAGTGATATTGACATAAAAAATAGTATTTTTTTATCAGTATATGATAAAAATTGACTTACTGATGTAGTATTCTTGCACAATGCTCGTGTAACCATATATGGAAGAATATCCAAAAATTATAATCATAACCACATCTCTGCTGTCCAGCTCCACTATGTGTGCTGAATGACCTTCCACAGCATATTGCTGGCCATGTACAAGCACTGCAGGAGTTCTGGAGCTCCACGTTTGGCTGTGTATGTTGAAAATCCACAGTTCATCTGTAACGTTGCCGTTACTTGTTTCAATTTTGCCTCCATACATGTAGATGTCTTCCTGTAAAAAATTGGAAGGGAGAGAGGAGAAGGCACATAATGGATTACAGAAAGATAACATCTGAACTGCATACTCCTGTGCTGTGCAATATTTCATAACTGAGCTATCTGATTTAAATCTTCACATTTAATCTTACATTAACCAGCTTGATATCAGACACTAATCCCAAAAAATTATATTTAAACTAAACCAACAATGATAAGGAGTCTATTTCTCTGAAAAATAAACCCAGCCATGAAAATGACACCAAAATGAATCTGAAACAGATTACTTCAACCAGAATACCTTTAATTACATGCCTCTTCTAATTCATACTGCAGGGCTCTATTTTGAAAAAAAGCTAAACAGAAAGGTTATTATACTGTTTTCTTAAGGAACCACTCACTGAATAAAAATGTGATTTTCCACACACTCAGTCTATGGGCACTTCCATTAGCACATTCTCTCTCAACAGCAAAGTAACAAGTCCTGAGAAAACTCTCAGTCATCAGAACCCAAGGAAAAGGGACAATACGTGTATGGAATCATAGAATGGTCTGGGTTGTGAGGGGCTTTAAAGATCACCTCATTACAACCTCCCTGCCACGGGCAGGGACACCTTCCACTACCCCAGTTTGCTCCAAGCCCCATCCAACCTGGCCTTGGACACTTCCAGGGATGGAGCAGCCACAGCTTCTCTGGGCAACCTGTGCCAGGGCCTCCCCACCCTCACAGGAAGAATTTCTTACTAATATCTAAACAAAACATGCCCTCAGACAGTTTGAAGCTATTCCCCCCTTGTCCTGTTACTCCATGCCCTTGTCAAAGTTCCTTGCTTTTGACGCAGCCCAGGATGCAGCTGGCACTGCTCTTGAACACATTTGCTAAAATCAAATCCCATAGGAGAGTACTTTGAGTTCTTCTTAAGGGATGCAAAACAGATTTTCCAGCCATCGTGAACCGCGTACCTCAAACAGCAATGCCATCTGTTCTGATAAGTAATTAATGATTTACTTAAGTATTGACAGAAAACGAATCCTACTAAATGTCTCTTCATCTAGAGTTGCAAACCAAGGTATCCAAAGTCACAGAACAAATTCTAGGCTATTGGCTTCACAGACTTGCTCAAGGATAGTTTATAATGGGCAGAAAAATCTTGCCTCTGGTTCTGAGAATGATCCTTAGTCTTTGCTTGGACATATCAGAACCAAATTCCATTTGCATGGTGTTTGCACAATTGGCAGTTGTCTTCTCCGTGCTGCCAAGTAACACTCTGGTGCTTACACTAAATTCAGTCTTACCAGGTTTAAATTAAAAAAAAGGAAGCTGCAGGTTTAGCACATTTGGCTTGGTATGAAATATTGAGCCTCAGAAAAAGAGGCTGAAAGAGAAAGAAACTACCTAAGAACTTTGTATCAATCCTGTAGAAATTCCAGACTTATTGTATAAAGAACTGATGGGATCTAAAAAGAAATGTAAAGTGCATATTATTATCATCATGCAAGTCAAGAAAGATGAACTTTTGACTGTTGATGAACTGGCAGGCAAGTCAAATATAGGTATCAGTAGAATGACAGCCTGTTTAGCCCAGCAAAACAAAGGCTTCAGAGGGTTATAATGTTGTCCATATGCCTGTGGTTGATGGTCAGTAAGAGTCCAGAGCAGTAAGAAAAGCTTCCTCATAACACAGAAAATTAGTCAGCAAATGACTGACCAAACTGTCAAACTGTCTTCAAGATTTTGAACTTGTTTTTCTAATTCAAGGCAGGTGAACATTTGTCCATTTGGAAAGTGAATCTTCCTATGCAGGGATAACTCTGTACTATCAATTAGTTCGGTCTGGTGGTGTTTGAACAAAAGGCGTTCACATCCTTCAGTAGGAATTTGTAGCAGGATTAGAAAGATATATATCTGAACCCACTCCTCTCCTGTGAGATAAAACATTTCAAAGAGCTGGGCAAAGACCTACAGAAGCTGAAGGAGGTTGAGCACTGATCCAAAGGAATGGCTTGAACAAATATTCTTCTTGAAAGGATCCTCTATGGCTCATTCATTCCGCTACCACATAGATCTCAAAAGTCAAATCAGCGTTACTAAAATAATAAACTCCTTATTTTTAAGTGCAGACAACTGACTACAGCCAAAAGAGGGAGTTAATAAGGAGTTCCTGGTACTGTATAACAGTATTTTAAAAAAAAAACCAAAATATTTCTGACGCTGAGGAAAGACACTTTAAAAAAAAAAAAAGAAGTGAGCTAAAGAGCTGCATGAACTTTGAAATGATTACTCAGACTGCTGACAATAAGCAACTCCTCCTCACAGTTCTGCTTAAATGATTCAAAGTTCAGAGAAAAGAAAACTTCTGTGAGGAGAAAGCTTTGTAAGTGCAGATCCCATACACAACGATATTCACAGAGAAGGAGACAACTGCTTTATCAACCACAAAAACATTTAACTAAGTTTTGCTAAAGGCTATTTATGAAATTAAGAAGCTCCTAATGCTGTGGGAAAATGCTTTAAGAGTTAGTGATGATCAGCTGAGCGTGAAAAAATAGGCTGAGGTATTGAAGTCAGTAGAAGAAACACAGAAGTAAAATTAAAAAATATTACAAGCACAGGCAGAACAAAATCCAACATCACAGGCACATAAAGATAGATGTTTATTTGGAAAGCCTAATCAAGAAGGAATTGTAGAAAGGATACAAGTGCCAATGGTCTTGAGCAGCCTAAAGATTGTGATAAAAAAGGAATTCCCTTATAAAATTAAACTATCTTTATAAATTACATAAAAACTAGCTATAAATCAAGCTATACAATGAAGATGAGGCTTTCGGGCAGACACAAGACACAGAGTTTAAAGAGTGCTAGTACACAAATACTACTGACTTTTAATTAAGTGTAGTAGATATTTGTTTATATTAAAATATCCTACCACAACAGAACTGCAAACTAAAATAAAAACAACAAAAATAAAATTGAGATACTTTGATGTGTGAAGAATCTGGCCCAGATGAAAGATCTTAAAAATTGTACTCCTCAGCCTGGAGGAGAGAGAAGGCCAAGAGGCAGACTTGGCCAAGGAAGAGATAACAAAACATCAGGCAGATAAGCCCCAAAAAGATACAAGGCCTCCAACACATTCATATTTTAAATTTATGATACCACGTGTCAGAAGCAACATCTTCAATCACAGTGGCAGACAGTCAAGTTGAGCATTTACTCAATACATTAACCTTGGTCATTTTAGACATGTTACTTCACATTAATAAAATTATCTAAGAAATTACAGAACTCTTTAAAGCCTTTGTGGGTTTAAAATGAAAATTTCATATCGATTTTACCGTATGTAAATCAAAGTATATAAAATTACACTTAAGAGTTCCTGCTCAGTAGGGAATTCCAGCAAAAATGACCAATTTCTTCCTGTAAACTGAGCAGGCAGACAGCTCCCTCAGTCATTGCATTCCAACCTATGGATCACTCCAGTTGGTTTCTTGGCAGCTGTTCAGGTACAAGCCAACAAAACAGGCAGTGTCGCTCCTGTGAGCTTCAAAACTTCTCAGTAAATGTTTCCAATTTCTCAAATCATGTTTTTCCCCCCCAAAAAAACTACTTTGGTGGAAACTTTTGATGAACTGTAGTGATAAAGAAAGATGACAAAAGGTATAAGATCCGGAGATATTTGACTGTGCATTGTGGGCACAGAGGATGGCAGCTGAAGGCAGGAATGATAAGATAAAAGGTAGGATTTCAACAAAATAGTTAAATCACATTTCTCAAGAGAAGAAAACATTCATTTGATCCTGTGTTTTTCTTACAGAGTAATGACTGACATACACATTTTGACCAGCCAAAGTAAGACCAAGAGAATAACTCAGATACAGGAGAAAAAGTAAACTGTCATAATTTGAATCCCTGCTGGAGGAGTCAATACAATTTACAGCAGTGAAATTCCTCCTAATTTCTTCATCTTACTGACATCATCACCTTCTTTGGATAACATTGTTAAATAACCAAATAATTCAAATAACATTAAAAGCCTGGTGGGAGAGGGTAAAAAAGAGGGAGCCAGTCTCTTCAGAGTGTTTTCCAGGATTACAAGAAATTCCATTTACATTTAAGAATAATAAATATTTCTCTTTTTTTTTTTTTTTCTGGTGAGGCTGGTCAAGACTGGAACAGTTTGCTCTGAGATCCTGTGGAATTGAATATCTTTGGAGATATTCAAAACCCAACTGGAGTATGTCTGGAACAACCTGCTGTAGTTGACCCTGCTTTGAGCAGAGAGGTTGGTTAAGATGGTCTCCAGAGGTCCTTTCCAACCTCACCTAATCTTTGTGAGTTTGTGAAAAACAAATTTCTAATACAGGCCCACCTCTAGAGAGCCTCTTCCCTATTTGATTTTCTGTCACAAGCAATAATAACCCATTCGATGATCGTGAACAATATCCAAATCATAAAAGTAATATACTTTCCTTCTAAAAAAAAAATCCAAAAAACCGAAACCAAAACAAAAAAGCACACACACAAAAAAGCACAAACAGAAATCCCAAAACAAAATAAAAATCAAACAAACAAACAAACAAAACCCAAAACACAAAACTCCACCTTGAAAAGTTTCTTACTTAGTGTGACTAAACAGATGACACAGGAAAAACTATAGGGTTCTGGTAAACAAATGAAAATCAGCTTAGCAGCCTGAACTCTGTAATTTGAGGGCAAAATTCTTTAAGAAGCCCAGGAGAGGAAAAAAAAAAAATATGCACATTTCTCCTTAGTTACAGTAATAAAGAAATTCAGGTTCTACATGAAAGCACTGATTTCTGTAAATTAATAGTTCTTTCAAGTCCAAAAATAAATCCCCCTTTAACTAACCATTAATTAATATGGCAATTTTTGCATTTGAAATTTCATAAAAACTTAAAAAGTAACCCCTGGTATTTCCACAAAATAGGTAAATGGATATTTACTTTTAATAGAGGTAAAAAAGACAAAAATTTGCAAAAATGACCAGTGATCCA